CCCCCCCCCAAAAAAAAAGAAAAAAAAAGACTTAGAGCTGGAGCAATACCGCTTTTAGAGGCAAGTCTGTTATTTTTTTCATCGTTACATAATAATTGAACGTGTATTGAAAACGTGTGTGAGAAGCGGGAAGTGCTGTGAACAATCCCATTTACCGCGCTACAGAGATTTATAGTGCTTTGTATGAATTTGTGAAGACAAGTTTTTAAATTTTGCCTCAGCTGTTGTAGCAAAATATGATTAATACGTTAAAACAACTTAATGCAAACTGCTGTGTAAAGTATGGGTGACAATGAAGCTCTCGTTAAAGAGATATTTGAGAATAAGTTGCTCCACGAATTTTTTTTACCGCACTATAAGTATTTTGGGCAGTATTTTTTCTTTAGTTTTAGTAAGAGTTTTATGGCACTCGCAACACATTTAGCTCATATAAGTGGTAACGATTTAGAGTTGTTACAAGAGAGTCATCATCATCATCATCCAGTGCCAGATCTGCGAAAGACATCGACGATCATGGTTCTCCATTCGTTCCTTTGCTCGGATGCTCTTAAAAAAGCTACGTTTCCCTGATCTTACCCCGTTACCCATTTGTTTAGGTTCCAGAAGTAGGTTGCTCTGGGCCTACCCCTGCCTTGTGTGTCTTCAATTTTGCCAGCGAGAGCCAGATGTTCAAGACCTTTATGTCTATTCGAGTGTCCCAAAGAGAGAGTAACCCTAGTCATAACCCCTAATCCATTATCCACTAACTATAACCCAGAACCCGTAAGCCCAAATCATAACCCCCATTTACTCACTACTAGTCTCAACCCCTAACCAATTACTGCCTTACCATCAGCCCTAACCGCTTACTCACTAACTATAACCCATAACCACACCAGAGCACCCGCTAACCATCTGCTATTTTCTTTTCTTCTCGTTCACTTTTCCCTATATTGATATATGTATAACTGACCAGGGATATGAGGAGGTAGTGCAGTAACAGCGGGTTTGATCAGATCACGGAACGTTCAAGAACTTTGGAACCGTCCACATAGGCGGTTGGCGGGAGCTCTGGGGGAGGGGGGGGTCTGCTCCTTCTTTCCTATCAAACATCTATTGTCCTTATCTCCCCGCCTTCTTTTTTGTGTATTTGTTACCCCCTTGTAACACCTCTAATCTTCGGAACACATATGACCTTATTGTGTTGCAAGTGCCGTGAAAATCTTACTAATCCAGTAGCAAATACTTTAGGTCAGAGCATTATCACACTTTGCATCATTAAAGTGGTGGTCCAGGATCGATAAGAGTAGGCTTCGGCCGCCACCCAGGCAACATTTAAAAAATCTGTCAATTGAGAAGTTTAATGTATCCTGCGCGCTCATATGACCTTACGACGTTGCGAGCGCGTAAAACACTTACATACATACACACATACACACACACACACACACACACACACACACACACACACACACACACACACAAAACAAAAACAAAAAAAACCTTTTTGGTATTCCTAGACTTCACACTGTCGTCATGGTCAGCGCTCCTCTTTGTCTTTAAACACTTCGTTGAAAATGGCATAGGTGGAGTGGTATAGGTTTAACGCCCCTACTGAGACGGTTAAGTTATTTAAGAAGTGGGACCTCCGAATTTGACGTCTATCTCCGAAAGGACCGAGCCAAGTGGGAAATTCGTGTAAAGTGCCTGTCCCAAGGACACAACGTCGGGCTGAGCTGAGGCTCGAACACCCGAACCCACAATCTCACGATTGCGAGTCCGGTAGCCTAACCACGTGGCTACCGACGCCACACTTCGC